CTGTTAATAATCGAGTCTGGACCAGACAATCCAGTGATCAACACCATGAGCATCAATCTGCGCAATTGGGAACCGATGACATGTGTCAACCAAGTCAGCGAAACTGACCACCCGATCCCGCTTAGTCGCCTCTTACGACAAGCATAGTCACCTTTTATGGCAAGCACATGGGTTGCTGAAGACCTATTCTACCCCGGATCTTCACGGGTCCTCAAGTTTATAGCTTGAAGAAAAGTGTTTTAGTGGTATCTCAAGAAAGTCTACTCTGTATCAATGAAACTTGGTACATGTATCTTCAACACAAGGCAGAGGTATAAATAGGTTCCGAGAGTCCAATGTACCAGGTCAAAATCACTGTCAGGGTCATTCTAAAGGCGTGTATGGCATACATACTGAAAGGTCTCATTTGAAACTTTTTAAAGCCTTTGTAGTGGTAATATTGTTTGTGTGTTAATAGTGTTGTGAAACTTGGTCATAGAGCAGGAAAGTCAGTGCATGACTCATAAGTAAGGTCAAGGTCATGTGACTGTATTGTTTCATGCAGTGATTATATTCTTATATCAGGTGATATCATTGTTCTGATATCTGCCCAAAGTCACTGTCATCCAAGTAGGTTATGCACTTTCCAATTGTTACATTGAATTCCACCAAAGGACATTATATTTGTTATATATGTAAACAGCCCAATGAAAAAACTTATTATCACAGCTATTGAAAGTCACTCAAAACTGGATTATACTCAAGACAACTCAACATGAGTTCCAGTCAAAGGTTCACATTAAGACTGACTGACGGAGTTTGGTTTTATGCCGCTTTTAGCAATATTCCAGCAACAACACGGCGGGGGATACCAGAAATGGGCTTCACACATTGTGCCCATGTGGGTCACATTAAGATGGCCACTGAACTGGGAAGAACTTTTGAGTGACCTTTGTCGGAGAACAAGGTTACTTGAATAGTCATGGCATAAATGTTGTTATCTTGTTACTTCAAACTGTTTTGCCTGATGTCTCCTTGAATGTACATAATTGTTCCACCTGGCAGCCTTTATTGATTTTTGGTTTTGATGATGTGTAAGATGAAGTGTTTGTATGGTGTGTGAATAACTTCCATTGACTGCAGTCACATAGATGCAACATCCATGAGCAGTCTTGTTTTGGAAGTCTTCTCCAGAGTTTAGTTTTTTTTCAATCTTTTAAAACATACTTTCACCTGTTCAATGTTTTGAAGGCTTTTGGGAATTGTTATACTTTAAGACCCGTGAAGATCTGGGTTAGAATTGATCTTCAGTAACCCATGCTTGTCGTAAGAGGCGACTAACGCTATCAGGTGGTCAGGCAGCTGACTTGGTTGACTCATGTCATTGTATCCCAATTTGCGTAGGTCGATGCTCATATAGTATGACCAGAAATTATTGGGAATTTTAGGAATATGTTTAATTGGATTTCTAGTATAAACAACCTTGACCAGCTATCAAGTGCTTGGTTTCATTCAAGAGAGACAACTCCGTTAATCCTTTTGCATTAGTTTGTGAAGAGTTATCCCCCTTTGTTTACTTGCTAGCAGACAACATTTTCAGTGATCCTCAGTATGGATGATTTAGAGAAGAGGAAGTTGATTTTTGAGTATTTTAACAAGGACATCAGATCAGCTAAAGTGATTTCAAGTAGAACAGGCACCCCTTTGTCCACTGTTTATCGTGTTTTGAAAAATATTGCAAATGGATATGGCATTGAGCACCAGGGAGGCGCAGGTAGGCCAAGAAAGTTGACTGTCGGTGACAGGAGGCGGCTTGGTATTCTTGTTTCTAAAAACAAACGAAGGAGTTTAGAAACCTTAAGGCTGGATATGATTGATAGAGGAACTGTGGCTGTCTGTAAGGAGACAATTAGAACTGAGCTGTATGCAATGGGTTAGCAGAAAAGTCGAGGAATTACATCACCAATCATGAAACCTGAACAAAAGGAGCGAAGGTTGAACTGGTGCTTAAAGCATAGAAATTTTAACTGGGACAATGTGATTTTCTCAGATGAAAGTTCTGTGTGGCTGTTTCCTAATACACTGAAATTCTGGACCAAACTAACTGAAAAACCTTTGTATCAGCGCCCAAAGTACAGTCCGAAATTTAACGTGGGTGGCATATCTGTGTTAGGGGCAACGCGCTACTCTGTGTATTTGAAGGGAATATGAACAGTGAACGGTACACAGATATTCTCGAGGGACATTTACTTCCATCTGCTCACGTGTTCTATGGAAAGTTTTGGATTTTCCAGCAGGACAACGACCCAAAACATCGTTCAAAGCATTCACAGGCATGGTTTTGGACCCAAAATATGACATTATTACATTGGCCAAGCTATAGCCCTGACCTAAATCCAATAGAAAATGTTTGGGGACTTATGAAGGAAAGTGTCAATAAGAAAAATCTGACAAATATTGCCGAAATAAAAGAAGCGGTGGTCCGATATTGGGACATCATGGACCACGACTTTCTAACTTCTTTGATCAGTAGTATGCCCCGCCGCATTGAAGCCTGCATTGCTGCCCATGGTGAATTGACAAAATACTAACTGTTCACCTGTCTTTGAATCTGGAGTTATGTTCTGCTAATATTCACATTTACTACGTGAGTAATGAGTGAAAAATATAAAAACATTTACTATCTTAAATTCTCAATAATTTCTGGTTGTACTGTACTGTTGATTACTGGATTGTCTGGTCCAGAATCGATTATTTACAGGCCACTGCCATGTAGCTTGAATATTGCTGAGTGCTGAGTCTTTGATAAACCATGTTGTGGGTAAAGAAAACTCTAAATCTGATTCCTGGATGAAGATGTGTCAGTGCAGATGCTCTTCTCTGTCTGTAGACTGTCTCCTGGGCATTGAGCCACAGTATGCTGGGAGAATGTCTGCACCCTTCGTACCTCCCTGGCCAGGGGTCTCTGACTTGTCAGTACCACATCGTGGGGCTCCCACAAACACAAGACAAGGTTTTGGCTCTCGGCTTTACCGACTTCAACATCGTGTCCGGCGTGCTGAACATCACAGATGGAGAAAGCTACAACTACACCAATGGTGAGTCCATTATACATCAGTTAGAATCCTTTAGTCAGGTCATGATATTACTTTTCAGGTTTGTGCAAATAGCAGAAATTCTGCAGGCTCATTATCAATGCCCAGGGTGTTCTGCAGGAAAATATAATCTAAGTTTAGAGTGTTCTGTCACTGAAGATTTATGAACATCCTTATATCTGCATATAATTTTGATATTTCACAGGTTAAAAATTTAATTGAAAGTTTCAGGATGTGATTTGAACCTGCAAATTCACAGATCATATTTAGTATTGTAACTGTGTCTACTGAGCCACTCAAGCAGGTCATCAAAGAGTGGTCAGTCTTCCATGCCATGACGTCACGAGTCTGCATGCTGCATTTCTCACTGACATGGGGTATCACAGAGTTGTTGTATGTTCACTTTTTACGGTACTTCTTATAGTTAGACCGTTCCTAAGTTAGCTGAAACAACCCTCCTCACTATTGGTTAAAATGTGAAACCCTTAACTTTGAACGCTTAATTTTATTACTTGGCCCCTGAACTAATTCAGAATATCTCTACTCTGTATCTGGCCCTGCACACTCAAATTGACAATGACAATGTTGGATTGTGGCTTGTTGGCGCAGGATTGTAGGTTTTTGGTTTGAGCAAACCACACTTTACTTGTCCTCGTTGACTAATATTTGTAGTCTTTACTGAATCTCTTGGACTTATATTTTTCATCTTGATCAAACTGATACAAAAGTGTGTGCATGCTTCTGTACATAATTCTTCCAAAATTCCAGGTAGTTTAGAATACTTTCCTTTGTTTCATTCCAGACAATCATGTTCCCCATTATTGATATGTTGTTAGGAGGACAGAAGGTCTTTTTCTATCATGAACTGAACCCGGGTCAATTGCAGTGTTTTGTTATTCTAAATTTTTATTAAGAATCTTGCAGTTTTGTTGGTTAATCTTAATCTCAAATGAAACAATACATTTCAATGTAGATCCTGAAATCATATGACTGACGTTGACCTTGAATATTGACTTGCCATATGATAAGTATTGGCCTGTCATGTGATCAATATTCACACGTCTGCTTGAATACAAGATGGTGTCTGGTACAAATGTTTTACAGTTTAAAACTAGGTCACTACAGTGGAACATCATATGACTTCAATATGACAGACATGACTCTTTGAAGGTCTGACTAAACCTCAGTTTGGGTCACAGTTGGGTCTTTGGGTCATTGAGTCGGTCATTGCAAAGAGGATTTACAAGGCAAATGACTCAAGTTAAATTTGGCTTCATAAGGGACCGTTCATAATTTATGGCAAGGGGGGTGATGATGATTTTTATGGAGAAGCATGTACAATGTGAATGACCCCCCCTAAAATATATGTACAAAATAAGTGAACCCCCTGCATGTCATTTACAAAATCAATGACACCCCCTTCCCTGCCCATTTTTTCTAAGCATAATTTGAAACCTTTTTTTTCTGTACAAAATTGCTGACCGCCCTCGTACATGTGTACAAAATTGATGACACTCTTAGCTCCCCAGAACAAAATGGGTGACACCCCCCATCCCCGGGCTTAAAATCATCAACATCACACCCTCAACACCCCCACGCCTAAGCCATAAATTATGAATGGTCCCTTATGAAGCCTTGTGTCAACATTTCTTGATCATATTTTTTTGTAAGATTCTGATTAAGTTGCTTTTGATTTGAATCTTCAAATACTTTTATCTCATACCAAAAGATGTAGTTATGTAATCTGACAACATTATGATTAGAACTGGTGTCAGACCAATCAGAATATTACAAACTTTAGAATTTGGCTAAATAATGTGCATAAATGGAAACAATACAAGATTGAGGTGTAGCTTTAACCATTTTAATATTTGTTCATTTGAATATATTACAGAATGATTTTAGAACAAACATGAGTGTTATTTCAAACAATAGTTGACTAGCCTCTATTGAAATCATAGTCTATGAAACAATGTCTCTGTTGTGAATCTCATCAGCAGTTAATAACAGATAAAAATACAACCAAGAAATGCTACATGTATTCCATCTATCCAAACCACAATCTCCAAGAGACCAATGATTGAATTTTTTTTTCTGTTGTGCGGCTGGATGTCTGGATTCTCCAAATCCTAGGAAAATAGTCATTGGTGGACTGAGCTATACTTTAAGTATTGTTGTGTAGATGGGTGGAAGTACTGCGTGAATACTGGACTCCATGTGAAGGAAGCTCACTTCATACGATGCCCCTCACAGGACTGATAAAACACTGCTGCAGCAGCCTCTCTGCTGGTAACACTTCCATCTACCTTTGATGTTTTGTGACAGTATGCCATTAGATCACTGCTCGAATGACCTACAACACCCTATGGTGTATTGTGTGTGGATCTACATCCAACAATTACTGACTCTCTCCTCAACAAACAAAGATCTCCAATCAAACTGTCTGTCTGAGCCTTCTCCTTTGCCAGCCCTCAACTGTGGAACTCTCTTCCAAAGGAAATCAGGAACACTTCATCGAAAGAAACTTTTAAATCTCTGCTAAAGACCCATCTGTTCACTGCTGCCTTTCTGTAAAATCCATACAAACTATTTCTTTCCCTAATATTGTCACAGCACCACGGAGCATCTCTATGGTGGATATTAGGCACTTTCTAAATTAATTATGTTATATATTATTTATATTTATGACAGTAATATGTTACCCAACTGGATCACTGGTTGCCACAAGGAGCTCTTCCCACACACTCACACTTCAACATTGGCAATGTCAGGCCGGTACTCCAGTGACATATGCAAACCATCGGTTTGGTCTTTGGAAGGAGGGTCATCACTCTCCTGACCCATCCCTACAGGAGACCTGTCCCTCATGTCAGACATGCCCTCCACACCCAGCCTTGCAAAGGGCCTGTCTTTAACGTCAGACACGCCCTCCACACCCGGCCTTACAGAGGGCCTGTCTCTAACGTCAGATACGCCATCCACACCAAGCCTTACAGAGGCTTGTTTAACGTCAGACGTACCACCAAAACGTATCTTATGGTTTGATTCCTCTGAAGGACTTGCTTCTACAGAATCCCTTCCCTTTCTAGAAGAAGATTTTGATAGCCGTGAAGGTTTTCTTTTTGAGACTGGAGACAAACCACCCTTCTGAGGTCTGGGGAATTCTAACAAATTATGAGAACTTTGTTTCTTTTCCTTGATTGCTGGTGTATGTTCTGGGTACTTCATGGACTTGTTCTGGTTTAACATTTCTAAATATCTCTGCACATCTGATGATGTGTTGTCAAAGTTTAAAGTTTGTACCATCTGTTTCCTCTTCATAATGGAAGAGCCTTTGGAGTAGTTGGTCTGCAGAGAGTCCAGCTCAAGAAAGTAGCGGTCCTCCTCAATGGTTGTCTTCAGGCTCACATCAAAATGTTTGACCTTCTTACAAGTTCCACAGCAGACCTTCAACCTGTGGGGCATGATATTCTCCAAGAACAGAATAATGGACAACCGTTGAAGCTCTCCTTGGGCAAACTTGTTCTCTGATACCATCGCACAGGTCTGTGACATCATGGCAATGAGAGCATTGAGCATGAGGACGTAGGTAAGAAGCACAAAGATGATGAACAGTGTTATAGCAAGCCAGGGGGTCTCTGGCCTGGGTTAGAATGTCGAGTTCTGTCAGTCCTAGCATCAGATTGAATAGTGTGAGGAACGTTTCCCCGAGTGAGCGGAAACCTTCCGGCTGGGTGGACAGAAAGGTGATATAAAGGGCAACTGTGAAAGAGACGAATTCCAGGATGATTATCACCGCAAACCTGACAGCATCCCCTTGCAGGACTTTCTGAATCATGACTGTAAAGAAGCTGAACTTCTTCAGCGCACGGAGGAAGAACGTCAGGAACCACCACCCCAGCAGCAGTGCCAAGATGAGGAGGTAGTTGTTGGTCGGGGAAATCAAGTACCACAGTGAGTCAACGAGGATACTGACTGAGAATATGCACAAGAGTACACGATATGTCCCGTTGTGATGAATTTTCTTCAAGTGGAATTTATATCCTTGGAATATTCTTCGTCGTATCTCAAACAGAATGATCAGTACGCTATGAGAATGTTTACGATGTTAATTATCAAAACAAATAATGTTTTGTTGTACTGATTGTTCAGTCTTGGAGATGGGGTGATGGTTTGTTGTGGTTCTGAGTTCATGGTGTGTAGCACACATGTATACACACACTGGAACAGAGACGTGTTGCCATGGCCAGTTGAGTTGGGTGTAGTGCTGCTTGGTAGCTGCTGATTCAGTATTTCTGTTTTCACCACAGCATAGTAAGTCAAAATTGATATGTAGACTAAATGGAAAAATGCCCAGGTGAAATATAGCCAGCGGTATCGGGACCATTTAGCTCGGATTATTGTCCGCATAACTTTCAGATTCAGCACCTCAAATGCCTGTTGTACATCAATTTCACAGACTGTTTCCAGGATGGGTTTGTATGTTTGTTTGAAGGGGTTGGCGCCAGGTTTTTTGTATCGTGTGTTGCTTTGGTTGACATTTGTCAAGGGCGTGTCTATACTTGAGACTTTGTTCTTCTGATGTGCTTGGGATTGTTTCATCTTGCTGGAGTTTTTTCGCTGCCAGTTTGTCAGGGCAACTGTGTCAATTTCTGTAATGTCATACAGATGAACATCAAACAGGCCATCATGTCTATCCAGCTGACAATAAACACCTTCTATGTTGAGGATGAACCTGAAGATGTCCACTTGCTCAAGGGAGGCTGCAAGTTGCAAGGGTGTCTGGTTACTGAAGTTGGGCAGAAACCATGCCGTAATTAGGTCCTTGTAAGCAAGATGGACTCTTGCGCCAGTAGTTACGACCTCCTCTGCTGGTCTCTCACCAAGCCGTTTGTTTATCTCGTGGCACATCTCCAGCACTGCGTTCGTCTTGTTTGGGTTCAGGCATGCATATTTGATGAGAGAGTGGAACACAGTGTCTCCATAACTGTTTTGGAAGGATATCATGTCTGATGTGCCATACTTGAACATTAGTTCCACAATGTCGATGTCCAGTGTGAGAGCTGCTACTGAGAGAGGGAGCTCTCCCATCATCACTGTGTTGGTGAAGCGGGACCCTGTAGCCACCATCCGAAGCACCTGATCCTTGAACTTCTTCACCACACCGGCCTTCAGCAGCATCCTGACAGCAGCATGGTTACACTTGCTGATGACGATGTGGAGAGTTGTCTGCCCTTCATATTCACCTGTCCTTGACACCAAAAGAAGGCCAGGACACACATCAATGATCCTTTTCATGACAGTGATGTCTTCATGAAACTTTGCAGCCAGGTTGAGGAGGGTCTCATCCTTGTCTCGGTGTGCAGCCAGCAGCTCCGAACCCTCCCATCCCATCCTCTGGAGGACGTCCAGCTGGACCAGAGTGTCCTCCTCCTTGTCTTGCCCAAGAGTCACATTAGTCACCAGTTGCTGTCAGATAGAAGTGAATAGCATTACTACAACACTCACTGATGGACAGAACTTCTAATAATGTTTTGGGAGGGTGGGGTAGCCTAGTGGTTAAAGTGTTCGCTTGTCACACCGAAGGTCTGGGTTCGTTCCCAAATTGGGTACAATGTGTGAAGCCCACTTCTGGTGTTCCCCGGTGTGTTATTGCAGAAATATTGCTAAAAGCGGCTTAAGAACATACTGACTTCACACACTCACTCAAATAATGTTTTCTAGCTACAGATGGAAATATGTTTTTAGTAATAATTACCAGTATGAGTCACTGGAGAATTCGACTCCCTTAAACTTTTTATGATGGTATATGTTTTAAATTGAAAATTTAGAATATAAAACAATCATTTTCTTGGTAAGTCTGCATTGTTCAGACATGATTCTTGATTCTCTCCCACTCCACATTATAGCTGGACCTTGCTTATCTGGACACGTGTGTTTTCTCAAATATTATCTTTGAATCACATTTAGGAATGATACACATGAAAGGGAAAATTTATGAATGTACATCAGTATCTGAATCTTCTGTTACATCCTCAACCCAAATTCTATGGAGACAAAAATGTATAAGATCATTTGGATATCATACACAGTGAACATCATATCCCATCAGTGAATCTAGGTGAACGAAGAGCTGATGACAAACTTGGTGCATATAAATGTGAAATGTGAGATAAAATATCACCAACGTAAATATTTACCATTAAATTGTATTGCCTGTTAAGCTAAACCTGTTTTCTGTCATATGGCTCTGACCAATTTTGCATAATAATTCTGCAGTTTTTCTGCAGTTTTTCAGCCAGGTCTGCAGTCAATGATATTTGTTTTCTACACTCTATTAAGAAAGTGTTGCCTTGCTTGTATTACCTTGAGGAAGTCCTGTTTGTCTGTTTGATACAGCTGGGTGTATCTGGACAGTTGCTGAAGCTGGGCGGGGGGGTCCATCACCACCAGGTGTCCAGTCGACACAGTCTCTCACTCCGACAGACCTTGATGGTTGTACTTGTCATGTTGATTGCTGCAACATAGTACGCCATAATGTAGTCTGTGATCAACCACCACTACTGGTATCTTTCCTACTGGTTGCATGACTGATCACTATTTGAGCCTAGATAAACATGAATTGGTCTGGCTGTACTGAACACATGAATACCTGCCACATGAATATGTTGAAGTAGCTTTGCCATAATTATCTGTATCAAAGGTCAGTGAGTCAACTCCTCCTTTCTTCCACCTCCACCGGAACCTACAGAATTGTACAATGCTTGTGAATATTCCGTCTCTTTTACAGCATTGCCATAAATCCTGTATCTGTGGCTGCAATCACACAAGACCAATCTTAAGAACTTACATCAAAACTCCTCTGTTGTGGTAAATATTCTGGCAAGTTTGAAAGTAAGTCAGAGCTACAGATAATTTTTTGGGTCATTGAGTTATGTACCCGCTTGTCTTCATCTCAATTGGGTATCCTGATTTTCCTTTGAGTAACCTAACAAATTGTACTCACCTCACTCAAAATCTATTGGGTATTTTGCCATTTTCCATTAATTGTAAAAATATAATAAAGTTTAAATGTTAGTGTTTGTTATTTATATTTGATCTGTAATATGAAAAACGATATGAAAGACTGCTAGTTGAGTGTTCATGTGCCGAAATAGAATCTCTCAATATACCTCAGTTGCTTTATCTATCCACCGGTACTCAAGCTGAGATTTGACATTTTTGTGTGTACGCATGTACAATCAAATTTATTGAGTATTTACTAAAATACAAGCGTACTTGTACGCAACAGACGTAATAGGAATTGAGTTTTCACATAAATATTTGCGTAATTTACGCAGATACGCAGCTTATCTGTACCTCTGTAAGTAATTATGAACATGACTAAGGTTTTCAAAGGGGTCCTTCTTCCTGAGGCAGGGGTGTTAGCTGACTGTGAAAGTCCAGTTTCAACCATTGCCAAACTTAATTGGAATTTCATAGTGCAGTCATAGCACCAGTAGTGCTGTTATGAGTTATGTCCTTAATACGTTCCTCCTACTGATGCTTCAGGTTCCACTTTGTCAGCACACAAGTGAAGACATTTCAGACATGTGAGAGAGTTCTCATACTTCAAGACTTTCTCAATGTCTCTGTGATGGCACAAGTCAAGCCAGGTACTGGAGTTGCCTCTGCTTAGTCATGAAGGATTGGTGTTGTTTGATTGGATGGCTATTTTTCATATTCTATAATTTGAACAAGGATCAAAATATTGGTGCAGTGGTTTATAGGTCTTATATATCATAAGAGAATGAAGATTTAACCCTCAGGATGATCAAGGCTGACCTTAAGTCTGCAGGAGTGAAAACTGTAAAAAGATTCTCCGTCGTCCGTCCTAACCATGACTAAAACATTCCAAGGATGACTAAACATTTCACAAAGCTAGTCTGGAAGAAGATGCACTCAGAAGATGAAGAGGGTGTCAGCAATCAGGGAGCCTGTTAGCCTTTCAGAATATATTGACTGTGATTGGTGATATTGTGTATACAGATCTTGATCAGTGTTGGTTACTGCTGTTTTATAAGGAGGAAGGAGGACACCATTATGCAACTGTTTTACCTGCCGGATGTGTGCCCATCACACAATTGACAAAATGGGATATGGTAATAGCTGTGATCTTGTAGGACTGGCAAATGTCCAAGGCCCAGTCCTTCTAAACTGTGTGAACCAATCATGTTGGCAGGTTCGTGTATCACGACAGTAAGATGTGCTTGCCACATCAATAGATGATCAGTCCTTTCATCATCAGACATGAGAAAATGCTCTTACTCAACCATTCACTCATTCTTCTCACGATGATATTAGTTCATACACCCTCACTCTTCTCCCAGTGATATTAGTTCCTCCGCACTTGCTCTTCTCAAGCTCTCAACCCCCTCACTCAATCAATCTTCTCCCAGTGATCATATACTGGAAATTAGTGTTGGGAATTGGTTAAACTCTCTTAATTGATGATTGGTTCAATGCAGCCATTCAATCATCAGAAATAGAGTCATTTATCAAATGTTTCTGTTATGTTTGTTGATGCATAACAAAATAAAGCAAATAAACAGTAGTTCTTTGGGTTGTTGTTTTTTTCAAATTGCATTTGCAAATTTCACATCTTTAAAGGACTAAAATTTCCTGGAGTCTTTAAGATAAATTCAATCATGACTTGGAACGAGCTTATGAAATGTAACTTTAATGGCACAGACAAAACCAACCTTGTGAAAATATTATTAATGCAAACAAGTGTTCCAAAATTGTTTGTGTTTGATTATGAGAAAACATGATTAATTGCTTGGTTGTTTTGTCACTGTGACCAATCTTCGATTTATTCATTTAATCTGACCACCACAAGTCTAAATGTTGCCTACAAAAATGTTTTCAGCATAAAAATTGGAAGGAAAATATTCTAGCCCTTTCTTCAGTGGTAAATTGTTGTATCCATTTAATTTATGTTAATATCTATGAAATGTATTGTGAAACAAAAAATTTGTTAATATTCACTCTATTATGTTGTCATTTTAATCCATTTCTGCGCATACCATTATGAAAATTGATCCGCTACAAGAATGCTGTGCAAGGTATTGTATTTACAGTGTCAACAAATGTTGTTTTGACTTTTGCCTTGATATTGCCTTAGCGTCTCATATTGAAGTTGAGACTACTGCTGAGTCACTGTGAGAGAGGAAAGTCCACGTTTCACAAATAAAAATAATTTCTGATACGCATGTAAAATCTTGGGGATTTTTGCTGTGAAAAGGGATTGTAAATCCTGACATATTTAGTGTGATTCTTTAGTGAACATACTGATCTGCAAACTGAAGTATTTCTACACAAACTGAATCAGTCAACACTCTAGCAGTACTCACAGATGGCACTTTCACCGAGGAGGGCTGTACGGTGTATAGCTGAGACCGGGATAGTCTGTCAGCTGTATGGCATCTTTCCAGTAGCGATAGTTGTAGTCAAATATTTCAAGATTTGTCTACTGGGGTGCCACGGCACTCCTAATCACCCAGACAAGGTCGGTGGAGGACATTTGTCATAGGTACAAAGGGTATTGATTGCTGGCCTCCCCTGCTCATTGCTTCACACACAGACTGCAATATGTGCTGGAAAACAACGGGTGTTGATTGTCATTCTTCATGTCACTTGTAATTCTGTGTGTTGATGTGATTGTAGCAGACTGTCAGATCCAACAGTGTCTGTGCCCCAGTGCTTCACAGTGTCTGTCAGTTCTTCACTGTGTCTGTCCATGTTTCACTGTGTCAGTGCTTCACTGTGTCAGTGCTTCATTGTGTCTGTCAGTGCTTCACTGTGTCAGTGCTTCATTGTGTCTGTCAGTGCTTCACTGTGTCTGTCACTGCTTCACTGTGTCTGTCAGTGCTTCACTGTGTCAGTGCTTCATTGTGTCTGTCAGTGCTTCAGTGCTTCACTGTGTCAGTGCTTCAGTGTGTGTCAGTGCTTCTGTGCTTCAGTGTGTCTGTCAGTGCTTCACTGTGTCAGTCAGTGCTTCACTGTGTCAGTCACTGCTTCAGTGTGTCTGTCAGTGCTTCAGTGTGTCGGTCTGTGCTTCACTGTATCTGTCAGTGCTCCACTGTGTCTGTCAGTGCTTCAGTGTGTCTGTCAGTGCTTCACTGTGTCTGTCAGTGCTCCACTGTGTCTGTCAGTGCTCCACTGTGTCTGTCAGTGCTTCATTGTGTCTGTCAGTGCTTCACTGTGTCGGTCTGTGCTTTACTGTGTCTGTCAGTGCTTCACTGTGTCTGTCACTGCTCCACTGTGTCTGTCAGTGCTTCACTGTGTCTGTCAGTGCTCCACTGTGTCTGTCAGTGCTCCAGTGTGTCTGTCAGTGCTTCAGTGTGTCGGTCTGTGCTTCACTGTGTCTGTCAGTGCTTCACTGTGTCTGTCAGTGCTCCACTGTCTGTCAGTGCTTCACTGTGTCTGTCAGTGCTCCACTGTGTCTGTCAGTGCTTCACTGTGTCACTGCTTCATTGTGTCTGTCAGTGCTTCACTGTGTCAGTGCTTCATTGTGTCTGTCAGTGCTTCACTGTGTCAGTCAGTGCTTCAATGTGTCTGTCAGTGCTTCACTGTGTCTGTCAGTGCTTCAATGTGTCAGTGCTTCAGTGTGTCTGTCAGTGCTTCACTGTGTCTGTCAGTGCTCCACTGTGTCTGTCAGTGCTTCACTGTGTCTGTCAGTGCTTCACTGTGTCAGTGCTTCACTGTGTCTGTCAGTGCTTCACTGTGTCTGTCAGTGCTCCACTGTGTCTGTCAGTGCTCCACTGTGTCTGTCAGTGCTTCACTGTGTCTGTCAGTGCTTCACTGTGTCTGTCAGTGCTTCACTGTGTCAGTGCTTCACTGTGTCTGTCAGTGCTTCAATGTGTCTGTCAGTGCTTCACTGTGTCTGTCAGTGCTTCACTGTGTCTGTCAGTGCTCCACTGTGTCTGTGCTTCACTGTGTCTGTCAGTGCTTCACTGTGTCTGCTTCACTGTGTCTGTCAGTGCTTCACTGTGTCTGTCAGTGCTTCACTGTGTCTGTCAGTGCTTCAGTGTGTCTGTCAGTGCTTCACTGTGTCTGTCAGTGCTTCAATATGTCAGTGCTTCACTGTGTCAGTCAGTGCTTCAATGTGTCAGTCACTGCTTCAGTGTGTCTGTCAGTGCTTCACTGTGTCTGTCAGTGCTTCAATGTGTCTGTCAGTGCTTCAATATGTCAGTGCTTCATTGTGTCTGTCACTGCTTCAATATGTCAGTCAGTGCTTCAATGTGTCTGTCAGTGTGTCTGTCTGTCAGTGCTTCACTGTGTCTGTCAGTGCTTCAATATGTCAGTGCTTCATTGTGTCTGTCAGTGCTTCAATATGTCAGTGCTTCATTGTGTCTGTCACTGCTTCAATATGTCAGTCAGTGCTTCAGTGTGTCAGTGCTCCACTGTGTCTGTTTTAGTGCTTCACTGTGTCGGTCTGTGCTTCAGTGTGTCTGTCAGAGCTCCACTGTGTGAGAT